CCATTCAGTAGCTCATTACAGTGTTTTTATCACTCTAATAGTCGATAAATTCTTCTTCACATCCAACCCAAATCACCTTTGTTTAACCCAAGCATTTTTCTTTTTATTCAAACTTCCAGGTATGTAACTGAAAATACTATAACCTCAAAAACACTCCATTTTAAAGTTGAAATAGTAATTAATATATTGTGTTTTAAAGTTGAAATACTAATTAATATACTGTGTTTTCTGGGCATGGTTTTTCAAAATTTTGTCCATAAAAATTTAAATAATATAGGCACCATAGATATAAGTTATTAGTACTGTGATAAAAATGAAAGAAAAATTAAATAAGTGTGCTTTAAAATGTTTTGCAATGAAATTAGGTGTTGCCTCATGATACTTAATGTGCATACAGCTGCTGCCTGAGATGCTAATAATGGTATGTTCCATTTTTCTGACACTTCTGCCTTCAGAACGAGCCATGCCATGTTTCTGTCCCAAATATAGGTCATTTTCCCTCCAAATTTTATTATCTCTTTGCTTATCAATTTTTGTTTGATTTCCTGTTAGTGATAGAGCACTTAAGAACACAAATAGGAAATGAAAGCAAGAGGTCATATGATTAAGTTTCAGACAAAGAATAATTAGTCTGTCAATCAAATGGTATAAATGACTTAGAGATTTTTCTCAATTTGACTGGACAGAATAATGTTTCTGGACTCTAGATTGTGCATTGGAATCACCTATGCAACTTATTAAAACTAAAAAACTCTTAGTACATTGCTGGTTAATTTCATTTATTAGGAATTAAGTGATTCTCAGTCAGTGTATTTGGAAAATAATAAAATACTACTAAAATGGAGCTTGTGGAACAGCAAGCAGTGACATTCCTTAGGAGCTTATGACAAATAGATAATTACGGGCCTCACTGATGCTAATTGAATTGATTTTTTAATTTATATAAGAATTTTTATATTCAAGTTTGAAAGATCCCATGACATGATATAATATACAAATCAGTTTAGAAGAACAGAGTGGATGAAGTGAAGCCAATCCAAAGCCAGACTCAGAAAGCCAAAGGTTGAGTATTTGACCTCATATATGGAATCTAGAGAGAAAAAAATCAGGAATGTAAAGGGGATCTCATGAAAACAGAAGGGAGACCAGTAGAATACAGGAAGGGTATGATGCAAAGGGAGGGAAGAGGAGCAGGCAGGGGAAAGAACTGAACAACAAAATTGACCAAATTACTCTCTATCCATATGTGAGCACACCACAATGAATCTCAAGCTTACATGTAACTACAGTGTACTAGTTAAAACTATTTTAAGGCAATGAAGGAAAGAAAGGAAGGAGGAAGGAGACAGGAAAGAAGGAGGAAAGTGGTCAAGTTCAAAAATATGGGGAGCAAACATTTATAAAGGCTCTCCCTGTTAATGAGCAAATAGACCTTTCAGCTTTTCATTGTAATGTCCTTTTGGCTACTCATAAAAATAGAGGGAAATGATGGGAGGGGAAGGGATATGGTAATAGAAAGATAGTAGAACGGAACAGATATTATCACTGTATGTATATATAGGTGACTACATGACCAATAGGATTCTGCAACATGTACACTCAGAAAAATAAATAATTATATCCCATCTATGTAGGATATATCAAAGTGCATAAATGTATTCTAATGTCATATATAACTAATTAAAACAAAAAAAAAATTAAAGAAATCAACAACAAATATTTCATTTGCAAATTGATACTCTTCATATAAGAAAAATATTTTTCTAAAGGAGCAACTTTAATAAAAACATTGGATATCATTGTGTTCAGGGAAGTAATTAAACTTTTGTTTTCATTAGTGTGGTACTGGTAAGATAATGCTACTAACAAATACTATAGTTTTTTAGAGGTGATAGTCTCTCAGCAATATTGCTTTACCATGGAATACTTGGTTCTTTAAATTTGCCATATGATTGTCATGGATATTTTGAATGAATTCCCATTGCCAATTTCAAGTTTATTGACCCAAATATAAGTTTAACTTCTCAGGTTTTACTTTTTATATTAACTGCATAGCAGTATACCAGCAATGAATAAGCTAGTTAAAACTTGACCCAAATATTTTAATGCACCCAGTGAAGCAATTTAGAAAGCATACCAAACACAGGGAAAACATTTCCATTGAAATATCCCAGCAAGGATGGAAATTAATAAAAGCTAAAGCAATTATATGTTAATGTTCCTATGGAGGCTGAGTAATCTCATTGATTTCAGGACCTGTATTTTGTTTTTTGTCTCTCTCATCAAAAACTTTGAGTACAGATTGGTGAGTTTTTCTGTATTAAATGAATGATGTTTATTAATCACCAAGTTCTGGTAAATGGATTTACTTTACAATGCCATGCCCTTTGCCCTGCTCACAAGTTGGATGTGTGCAAGGAGAATGTTTTATTTCTAAAATAAGTCTCATAAAACAATGTAAAAAGCTGTTTTCAAACTTTGTCTCATCACTATTTATAAATTAAGTTTATCATTTTGTTCTTTTGCTTACTTATTCATCAATACTTCCAAATGTGTTTTTTGAACATTTTTATTTGGAATTAAAGAGTATTATTTTTAATACTGAATACAATCTAATGTTTAAAAACTCAATTATAGACTGTTTTTGAGAAAAATCCCACAATTTCCTTTTAATATCTTAAAATAAATTTAAAAATATATTTGCCTTTGGATAATGACTTAGATGATTTTTGTATGTTGCTGAAGTGGAATGGAATGTGCATATCAAGATTTCCTAGATATGAATGAAATATTTGAGTACCATATGGCTGAAATTGCTATTTCAAAATATCTAACATTACATATGATTAAATCTTTGAAAATACAACTTTTAGGGGGTATAAAGTACAATACCTGTTACTGAGTCTAAGATTGTGCTATTATAATCATAACATCCAATTTCCATGTTTAAATAATGTCCCATGACAAAAATGATTTTAATATGAACATTTAATCAATAATTTAAAATAATTTAAAAATAAAATTTAAATTAATTATCTTATTTATTTAAATGTTTTCTATATTACTTTCCTATTATGTCAGAGAAGTTCAGAGTAAACAAATGAAGGGAAATTGAAACATTTTGTGTACTACTTTAAAGGGTGATAGAGTTAAAAATAGAAATCAACACTTAGATATATGCATCTAAAATTAAAATGTATGTGACTTATGGGATATGATTGTTGATTCAATTCCATGCTATTGTTTTCCAGCTGATTAATGCCTGGACAACTATAATCAAATTAATAGACTGTCCTGTGATGAGACTTATTTCAAATGTCTAATTTGTTTATTTATCACATATCTTCTATTTTAGTTAGTGATTCTTGATACATCAAAAGGACTTTATTTCATCTGGAAGAGACAATATTATGTTTTAATGTACTCTTTAAAAAACTATGCAAAGCATTTGCTTTATATACTATGTATTAATAATTAGTACACCTATATAAATATACCACTTGGTTAAAAGACAGCAATGTAAGTACAATATATGACTATGAATAGTTAATGCATACATGTAATTTGTGTATTTATAAATTGTATACACACACATATATAATGTATGTATAAAATATAAATAAAATTACATGAATGCCAGGTATAATTCTATTTTTTTGGAATACACCATAAAATTAATGTAATAAATAATTTGGAACACATGTTAGATGGCTATGGATGCTGTAACAAAAAGTATTGAAGGAAGTGAGAAAGGAAGAAGGAAGGAAAGAAGGAAGGAAGGAAAAAGAAAAAAAAAACATGACTAAGACTGGACAAGAGAAGAAGTAGAAAGAAGAGGCAAGTCTCCAGGACACAGTTGTTTGGGGAAGCTTCTGCATTAAATAGGAGTAGATTTCACTGAGAAGTTGAGACTTTTTAAAAGGTGAATGAATAGGCCAAGCTATTTTATTATGTAGAATTGTATGCTAGAATATTTATAGAAGAAATCATTTATTTCAAAATTTAATGTAAATACAAAATACAAACTCACAAATCTAGATCCAAATATTTATTTTCAAAATCTCCTATGAACTTATGATAAGAAGTATCTCCACAGAGAATCCATTTTGGATCTCGAAGTCATACAACTTGGGTTGAATGATTTTCGCCAGGAATGAGCCTGTAGCCCACAGAAAATTGTCAAAACCAAATCTGCGGAATACTAATGTTTAAGAGGCAGAGTCTTTGTAAAGTAGCAGTGAAAGAAGCTTAGAAAAACTAGTCACAAAAGTTGAAAGAAATAAGGCGAAACTGGAAATATGGAAATGATATGCTACCCATATCCTGTAAAATTCATACTTGAAAAATACTTTAAAATCTCAGTGGAATAACTGAGCTAAAAATAATTGTGTCCCTTGTTACTATAATTTTGACTCACTGTCCATAGCCTTTCTTATACTAAAGTATACTATAATATGATGCTGTCAGCTTGGACAGAAGGATAAGAAAAGACCAGTGAAAGTTATAAGTGTTCCCTTCCTCTCACCACCTCTTCCTTCTTCTTACCTTCCTTCTTTGGTTTTCCTCATGTAAAATATATTGTGAATAAAGAAAATATTTGTTTCCTTTTCCTCATTAACTATTAAAAGTCTTAAATTCACTTTTGGGACCACCTTTTCCCACAGGACCTTACCATATACATTGTGTGAAGTAATCTCATTGCTGACTCCATCTTTCCCAACCTGAATGACTTTTATACGGCACTATAAATATTCTCTGAAACAAGAAAGAACATAAAAATAAATGCACATATAATTTTGGAGGTTTTATGTTGTTTGTTTGTTTTTAATAATTTTGATCTAAATGCCAACTTTGCTCATTAAATGTTTGCCGAATTGAGTCAGGGTTGGGTTTAGTAAATTATTACTTCAGAACTTAGCTTTTCTCAGTCGTTTCACATAATTTTAGGAGTTTTCGTTGGTGGCTGATTCTGATAGAGACCCCATTTCTGTCTTCTGCAGTGACAAGGACAGTGTGTGCAGAACAATGTGATGGCAGGTGCTATGGACCTTATGTCAGTGACTGCTGCCATAGAGAATGTGCTGGAGGCTGCGCAGGACCTAAGGATACGGACTGCTTTGTACGTCTGGGAGTTCTCCCTATTCCTCTTTTCCTCTCCTTTGCTCTTTCTTTGTCTCAGCCATATTGAATTTCTCCCATGTGATTATTTAACATCAAGTTTTGCCATTTTAAGATTAAGCAAGATCCTTAAGGGCCTCTTCCTAGAAATCATGTTCTTACTGAGTTGGCTATTGATTAACTGGAATTATTCTGTTCCACTGAATTATTTCTGCACTTTGGACACAATTTATGTTAAAAGTGAGGTTTATTGGAGAATATGTTGAGGTATCTTTCTTAGCATCTAATAATATCCTTTCCAAAAATGCAGAGGTTGCTTGTCCATATCATTGCATATTTAAGTACCATCAGGGAGGGCAATTGCATTTTGTATTTTTACTATAAATTTCATGATTATAACAGATAAGTTTATGTGTTTAAGTATTTTTCCTGTTCCTATTCTTTACAGGTTTATGTTATTCAAAATTTAAGATTTACAAATGCACATTAAAACAACCAATATGCTAATTTTATGATTTATATTTTAGCTGCATTTGCAACTTGTTAGGGACACTTTAATTACATTTTGATATCATATCCTTGATATAGTACTTTTTGTTCTTTGGAATACATATGAGTAATTCTGAGAGCATTATTTAACTCAATTTTATACACCAGAACCCTAGTATTCTAGGGTATTGTTTTTAAGCTAAAAGTTATAAAAATAGCAAATCACATTTACTGTTGAAAGTGAATGCAAAAAAACTTGTTTTCTTTATTCTGCTTCTTAAATATCTAACACATGAACATATATTCTAGAATTGAGCATTTAGAAAAGTTGATGCTTAATTTCAATAAGCAAAATAAAATTTAAAATCTTATACATAGTAATTTCTTAGTTTTTAAAAACTATTATAAGAAATTGAACTTATCTATTCTAATTGTATAATGAAATAAAAAAATATATTTATTGCAGAAATATATAGGGAGGCAGATAAAAAGGAAATCAAAATGCTAAAAATCTGAGGTAGAAGCTCAGCGGTTCCTAAACTAAGAACTTTTTTTTTGTCCATCACCAATACAGACAGATGAGCTTGAAAGATTGATCTTTGAAGACACTGAACCCTGAAAGTGTTGCTTTAATAATTACAAAACAATAACTATAATAAACAATAATGAAAACTCTCAGAAGTTTGAAATCACCTCTTTTTTTTTTTATTGTTTCATTATCATGACAAGCAGATCAAGTGATGTTCAAAATCCTCATTTCATTACTTTTTTGGAATGGCCCAGTAATTACATTCAGGCATTTGTTACAGAATGCTCATGAATACCAGACTGAGGCCCTGGTATAAGTTACAATATGCTTATTTGTTGTCTGAAAGGTATTTTTTTTAAAATTTTTCTGGCTTATGTTCTTTGTTGCCAAGCAATCTATGCATAAGATTGCATAAAATATGTTAGTAAAGCAATTATAAGGACACATGAAGTTTCATAACCATAAATTAAAACTTACTGAGTTTTCTAGATTGGTTTTTAATAGATTCTTCCTAGAAAGTGTCATCTCAGTGAATAATGTATCATCACTGAGTCTCATTCTGATTATGCATCTAGTAGACCTTCATCAGGGAATTGTCATGTTTGTGATAAAGTGCTCACTAAAACAACAATTGATGAAGCAAATGTTTTGAGGAAACAGAATAAATTAATGCTTATTAATAACCATATGACAATTTATGATGAAATGTAAAACAGAACTTGAGTTCACATTAGCTTGCCTTCCAAGTCTTGAATTATGCCTATGAAAGCTTAATTTCTTAATTAAGAGAATTAGCTCATCCATACTTTTGTTAATCACATGCTTATGTGTACTTATACATATGTTTTTATTTGCTACCAAATACCTAATTCTCAGGTGGTAAAATGATTCTTAGTTCTTCTCAAATGAGCTTGAAAGTACTAATGAATTGAGTTCTCAAGACAAATCTGTGTCAGCAGAGAGGAACTGTCTTATTTGAAGGGGTGGCTTTACTAAATTGTGTGGCATTTTGAAAAATGCCATACAAGAAATGGCCTCATCTTATTTATTTACAGATTAATTATGTACCTTAAATTTACCTGTGGCTATTCACCTGCCAGAACCTTTTCCTTAAGTCCACTTTAAACATCCATCACATTTCTTCACTATTCAATGGTGATGTTTATGTTTAACATTCCACTTAAAGCACTGAAGTCTATATGAAAGCTCAAACACACACACACACACACACAAACAACAACAAACAAACATAGAATTGGAGATTCAATTGACCTTAAAACTTAATATAAATGATTTGAATCAGTCTGAACTTCAATAATTCCTCACTATCAGCTAATTTTAATAATCTAAACCATTTCTTAGTTTCAAAATCAGTGGCTAAATACTAAGCAATTTGAATATTAGAAACCATACATGGTATATCACTGACATTTGAACAAAAATTTATGGAAACTCAGAAGCATAAATGAGTTTAAAAGTATCAAAATTTGCAGTATCTATACAATTGATGTATAATAGGTAATGAACACAACTTTCATAAAAGTATCACCACAGTGTTTCATTAGTATGTATTTTCATTAGTATGTATTTCATTACAAATAACATGAAAGTAAATTTGTAAATGAAAGTTATATTTGCTGTTGCAGGCCTGCATGAACTTCAATGACAGTGGGGCATGTGTGACTCAATGTCCCCAAACCTTTGTCTACAATCCAACCACTTTTCAATTGGAACACAACTTCAATGCAAAGTACACATATGGAGCATTCTGTGTCAAGAAGTGCCCACGTAAGTGATACAATAAAAATACTCCAATTAATTAGAGCATTATTTGGACATGAGAAAACATTTCTTATAAATCCATTTTAATTTGAAGTTTGAATAGTCATGGATTACTTTGGGTATGGGTACTCTCACTCTCATTTCATAAACAAGGAAATTAAAGCTCAAGATATTTAAGTGTTCTAAACTTCATAGTGAAGGATTAGAATGTTCGAGGTTAGAGCAATGAGTTATTGACTCCTGGATTTGTTATTTTCACTACACCTGAGTTTTCTTGCACATTATGCTGTTTCTTGGAAAAGTTAATTAAATTGATTAATAGAGTGGAAGCAAGCTATGTAATAAATAGGGCCTGCTTCTAGTAGAATGGATTTCTACCTAAATTCATTCATATAATTTGTTTACACTAAGATATATATTATTATAATTTTCATATAAAATCTAATTTTAAACAAAAAATAATAGGTATAAAGAATACATTTAGGGAGCTTTGGCAAACTGTTTACTTATCCTGGGTATTCAAAATGACCAGCATTGCTCTCCAGGTATTCAATATAACATATGTGCTGACATTTCCTAGAGTCAATTTCTTTGCTTTGAGTGACCAGTGGGACTTTTCTCCATGTTTCATGTTTCATCTACTGGAAAGGCCAAAAAAAAAAAAAGTTACATTTCTTCACATACTTTTTTAAAGGAAAGCTTTATGATCTACAGAATACAGATGTAGTAACTCACTTAAAGCTTATTGTCTTTGATTAGTTTACATCTGTGAAACTACAGGCTAATTTAAACACTTCAGTACACGTCCACTGTGAAATTTAAATTTTAGATGAGCATTCTTTGTGATTCTTGGTTTGCCAAGCTTAAGTGTCTTGGGAAAACAAGGACATTTAGCTTCTAAATACAGGTCTACAATTCCTAATCCAGAGTTCTGAAATTTAACATCTCCAAATAACATACCTTTTTGAAACAAATTTGGCTTCAAAACCTGAACCTCATTGGCATAAGGCCAATTATAATCTTTATTCATTCTACTTGGCATAAATTGCTGCATAAATATGAAAGCATTTAATTATATGGTACTATCCAAGACCTCACAGAAAGAATACTTACTTAATACATAGTAGATGAACCTGGTGCAGGTTGGGGTCTCCTGGCAAAGAGATTAGGTTATTAGGAAATAGTCTCAGAATCTATACCTGTAGGGGAAAGGAAGGAAGCAGAAATGGGCTTTGATACCCTCTCAACAAAGGAACTCTTTGGAGGTCAATGCTCTGTGGTAGACAACTGGAATAAAGAGATCTCCATGCTTTGTGCCTACTCCCATGAGTACCCCAGATTTGCTTCATTATCAGATTTTCCAGTATTTCTCCTTCCAGGGCAAGCCACTGCTTATGAGTCCATGTAAGAAGCCTCTTCTTTCTCCATACAAAATGAGTGATGAATTGTCCTACCCAGAACTATGCCCTCTGAAGGGTTTCGTCCTTCTTCTGCCTCTCAACTCCATTCCTAAGTGAGGCTTCAGGGAAGCCACTGTCCACTTTCAGTTTGCACCTGTGGATCAAGTTTAACTTTTCGTGGGTTTTTTTTTTTTTTTTTTTTTTTTTTTTGGTCAGCTTTTCCTAAGTGCCACCTCTCATCTCCATGTAGCAAAGGCATGAGCTGAGTGTGGTGTATAAGTGCAGGGGTGGGTGACATGGGGTCTGAATCACCAGTTAATGCAGGTCACTTGTGTCTCTCCTTTGCACATACCCAATCCCAGATGCACTGCTTCAGTTTTACAGTGTTGTTGGCTCTTAATGTGATGAAATCATGACTCCAACAAAACTTTTTTCACCATGGGTAGTTCCGGCCACAAGTGTAACCACTGACCCATGATGAGGTATTTTGACTCTACCAGGATTCGGAAACATGCCAGGAACTCTTTGTTAAATGCTACTAATGGCATGACTTAGCTCCAGAAACCTATCTGCTAAGTTTTTCCAGTTGCTACTTATCATAACTTCACGTGCCATGTATTCCCACTATATTACTGCCTATATTATACAACCTATTGGGTTTTATGTCCCAAGTAACAAAATTGCCTGTACCATGTGCCTTTCCTGCTCTGGGCTCCCCTCCAGTCTGGAAGGCTTCCACATTATTGCATAGTGGGCTAGAGCACTATTCCCAAGCATAGGATGATTCTGCCTTTCAAACCAGAATGATCTTGCAGGCACTGTGTTTTCCCTTTATGGTGGGATAGTCCAAAGACAGTTATTTTTCCCTTATTTTGTAGAGGATGTTCTGGTGTATCAAAGATCACCCAGTCTCCTAAATATTTCACTAAGTTTAGGTAATAAAATGTTCCATGTCTATACCCTTTGAAATTTCCTTTTGTTTCTTTTTAAAAAATAAAGTATATATGGGAATGTTCTATGGCATTCCATTGAAACATAGAACATATTTTAAACATTTTCTCCTGGTTATGAAGTGCACTCTCTTGATCCAAAGCAATTTAACTTAAGCTTCATTTGTGCTTCATGAACTTGAAGTATTTTTAGACTTCCAACTTGCATCATGACCTGAAATGAAGTGGAACTATTGAGAAACACAAACTAAATGTCATGTAGTTTCCTAAGTGTATAAAGGAAATCCACTATATCTTGGGGGCAGTTCGGGATATAGAGCCATAGAAAAGCAAGTGCAAGGTTCTGCTAACACAATGCCTAAGATTTCAGTGTGGATGGTTAAGATACTATTTCAAGTTGAGATATTAAAAAAAAAAAAAAAAAAAAAAAAACCTGTTTTAAGGGAAGAGACATATAAACTGTCAAACCCTACAATATTTTGTTTAAACTTGATAGCTGAGCCAGGCATAGTGTCAAGACCTGTAATCCAAGTAAATTGGGAGACCTAGGCAGGAGGTCCTAGGTTTGAAGCCAGCCATAGCAATTTAATGAGGTCCTCAGCAACTTAGAGATATACTGTCTCAAAATAAAAGGGGCTGAGGATATAACTCAGTGGTAAAGCACACCTGGGTAGTTCAGCTGAAGAAATAAAAAATAAAAATAAATACATAATTGTGATGACTGCACATTAACATTATTTTAATTTTTATTTTTTTACCTTTTTTTTTGTATCAGATAACTTTGTGGTTGATTCTAGTTCTTGTGTGCGTGCCTGCCCTAGTTCCAAGATGGAAGTAGAAGAAAATGGGATTAAAATGTGTAAACCTTGCACTGATATTTGCCCAAAAGGTAAGTGATAGCTTAGAATACTTTGGTTAGAACACGGTCTTATACCAAGGCTTATATGGAGACCTTATACCAGGGTCTTTCATTTACTTTTCAATAGGCCAATGAAGTTAGCCTCAGAATAAACTCACTACCACAATGAAACCTTCCTGTTCCCCTATACTTCCCATGACTTTGGACAGTTCCCCAAAGTATCAACTAACAGTGCGTATTACTAGTTTTGAATTATGTCAACTAAAATGGTCCAGATAAAACTCAAGAGTTAACTTTCATAGGAGCTCAGAAATAAAGTTCCATTTGGTCGGTAACAAATATTAGATGTTTGATACTCAACAAGGATTTGCATGCTTATTTTAGTATCATAGCTCAAATGCCACTCTACACAAAATTATCTGCTATGCATAAACAGGAATGCAAAGGGATATACCACATGAAACTTACTCTCCAGATCTTAAAATAATTTTTAAAAGATGTGCGAAATGACAATGAGGTTTACTACAAGCATTAAATAAATGTTGCAGATAATTCATGCTGTAGGATTTTAGTGGAGGAAGAAATCCCTTCTAGCTGTGAGTGATCAAATTCCTCACCAGAATGAAGCTTAAATTAAGCAGGACCAAAGTATAGCTCACAACTTTCAAACATTATTAAGCTTCTCAAAGATCAAGGAGTTCCTTAGAAAATGCCAAACTTCACATTTACTTTTAGACTGCCTTGTCTCCTCTCTCCCTCTCTTTCCTTCCCTTCCCCTTTTTCTACACACACACACACACACACACACACACACACACACACACTTTTATTTTAAATAAAGCCTTCAGAAAGCAGAGGTAACATTAAGTCCAAGTATTTAAATAAATGTCCGTTGACCCAAATTGATATGGTAACAACTCATATCATTCGTATTCTTTATTTGATGTATATTCTTCATTAGTCCAGTGTTTTTCAAATTACATGTTGTAGAATATTAGTAAGCCAGGAAAATATTTTGTTAAAGTGACCAGCAGTTTAAAGTAATGTTTTAGATTGGGTTAGAAAATAAGTAAATTTAATCTAGTAAGAAAAAGCAATGATTAATGAAGGCTTTTCTTTTTTATGTGGTGTATGAATGTCAGGTTTTAGTATAAAATACGGTTCTTATAAAGACTCATGCAAGGACAATCTTTATTTTTTTTTTATTTAGCACAATATTTTAAGTAGGGAGAAGAGTAAATGATGAATGAATTATTTTATTTTCCAGAAAAAAATTAACTTTTTAATGTTTCAATAAAATGCTGTTTCCTTTATCATGAGAGTGCAATAATTTATTGACCAAAAATCAGTTTTTCAGCCCGCTGACTGTGAGTCTTGTTTCTACAGCTTGTGATGGCATTGGCACGGGATCACTGATGTCAGCTCAGACTGTGGATTCCAGTAACATTGACAAATTCATAAACTGTACAAAGATCAATGGGAATTTGATCTTCCTTGTCACTGGTATTCATGGGTCAGTATTCAATTTTATTCAAAACTATTTTACAAAATGTAGACAAAACAGAAGAGATTCCTTAACTTTGCTGGATTCTTTTACCTTCTGTTAATGCTCTTTGCCAATAAAAGCCAAGGCCAGTTCAAAAGCAGTGATAGTAAACCAGAGTTTTGGGATGCAGCTCCAGTTTTAATTAGATGGGAAAATATAAATTTGTATTTAAGTTAAAATTTATTGGCAGGGAATTCTCCTAAAATTTGTAGTTTGCATCAAGTTTGAGTTATTTTTAGTTGCTTTTAAGAAAATAATATTAATTGATAAAGTGGCGAACTTCACTCGAATTCCTAACTGATTAGGTCAAGATAATGTAAATTAATAATCCTTTAAAAATTTCCATGTTAAAGCAAATCAGATAACCTGGCATAAAACAAAGTTGGAATTCTCCTGAAACTCTTTCAGAAATTTTCTTTGCCTTTATGAAATCTTTTTATATTTTCTTGAACTGGGAAATTACTATGACTGTAAGAGATCTATTAAACAAATTTCATTTTGGTAATACAAATTGGAACATTATCTGCATGCCTTCATTTCAGAACCACCTGCTGGTTTTAACTGGGAAAACAACCAAATTTGTATCCTTTGAATTGTAATAAAAATGTCAATATTTTTATTTTATATTTTAACTTTTTGTCTATATTACTACTTAATCCCTAAATATTAGCACTACAGGCAACAGATAAAGACTATCACATACATATTTCAATTCAAAATATTATTCTGAACATATTTTTGCACATAATTTCTAGAAGCACAAACATCTAAAACATTAAAAATAAACATGTCCAAATAGGAATATCAAGAACAATAAAACAAACTATTTCTTTCCATTTAAACACATTATTGTTTGTCTTATTGCACAAAATAACTCTTTACTTTAAAATATAAATTTTAATATTGTTTCCTATCAGATACTGTAATAGTATATATGTAATTTCTTCCTGATTTGTTGTATTTGGTCTAAGAAATGTTATTTTTTAAATAAAAGTTTGAACTTCTCTTTAAAAAAATGTAGACTTGTTTAGTGCAAGTTCATATTGTTACATGGCTGCAGTCTGTTGGAGATGGACAGCCCTAGCACTGGAAATGAGGCCTGTCCCTTGACTTTACCATATTCTCCACTGGCCTTCTGCATTGTTGTCTTAGCCTCTTTGGCTCCCTGGGTAGGAGACCTGGGTTAATGTTTATAATTTTAAAAATCTTTATAATTTAAAAATATATGAAAATTAATAAAGCAACATATTTGTATTTAATTATTTTTAAAATCAAATATTACCATGAATGAAAGATCATATATTAATTAGTTCCTATGAGAAGAAGAGAAATAAGAGAGATTTACTTAATGCATAATACCTGCTTCTATGTGGAAATAATAAATGAAATAGCTTCAGGTCCATCAGTGTGGGGAATGATTTGAAGTCATATTCTCATGAATTGTATTAGACAAGTGGTTTTCATCCCTATAGAGCTCAACTTTTCTCTTTTATATATTAAACGTTTGATGCTTCTTCTCAATACTGAAAACCTATGGAGAATAGAGCCTATTACATACATAATTTTTAGAAAATCATTATAATTCACCAGTTATAATTTAAAGAAGAAATAAAAGTCACTTATAATAAAAATAGGCATTGATAGGAAAATGCTCAGCTTCCACTTATAATGAAAATTTGAATTTATGAGAAGTGAGATTAGAATTCATTTTGTATAGGAAATGTGGGGGTGGGGGCATGGAGCAACAGAGGAATTGCTGACCCCTAGAATAGAACATAAATAACCAGAACATGATGTAACCAAAGGAAGAGGGAAATAAGTTTCACTGAAATTAGAGAGACTTGCATAGGGAATTACATACAAAGTAGTATTATGCAAGAAGTTTGCAGATATTAGGTTCTAAATGTCAGGGAGGATGTTTTAAGGTTATACCAGAGGAGAGGCAATTCTTCACTTTAAGAGGCTTTTAACTACCTTGGCCCCAGATTATTACTAAAAGTCTCAATCATCCCCCAATTACCATTAGAATCAAAACACTCCACAAATGCGCTGACTTCCCTTTAGTGGAGTGGAACTACCTTTATTGATAACCACTGAAAAAGTTTAATGACACTAGCAGGATTATGAAAACTGACCTTCTAATGGTGAAAATTCACATAGATGGGAAGGCTTGGACAAGATTTCATACAGTGAGGTTCAGAATCATTTAATCTTGGTTCATCATACAATATATTTTTTCAAACTCTGGATTTATAATAGTTACAAAACGATTTTACATATTCTCATTCACCCATGATCTAGGGTGGGGAAAAACTTCAATAAGTAAATTCAAAACAAACACACAAGATGATCTCAGTAAGAACAATGCATTTGCATGTACCTGAGAAGAATATTACAAAACTTTTGATTAAACCAGACTTTTTAGGAGAACAGTTTTGCTAATTCATTCAGGTAATAAACAATCCCTTTATTCAAACATCAAATAGTTTGGATTAGAAGTCGAAAGATAATCAAAACAAAACAACTAATAATAACCACAGCAAATGCAAAGCAGAGTTTCTACCTGGGTAACTTGATCCAGACCAGAGTGGAATTCGATTTGCAGCTCCATGACGGACAGTTTGAACTAAGTTGGGTGGTCCTCCAGTGAAAAACTGAGAATGGGATGGATAATAAACAGGCATCTCCTCTGATCTTTATGGCAATTAAAACCAAAAATAATTTTGAACTACTCAATTCTGTATGTGGCATATTGTCAAGTCTTAATAAATATTTTAAAAAACAAGAGGGTTTGGTGGATGCAGAGAAAAAGAGGGAGAGGAGAAAAGAAAGAGAGAAAATGAAAAAGAATTTTAAAAAAAGAAGGATGAGAAGACAGTGCAAAAGAAAAACTTCAGTGATTGTGTCTGGTTTATAGTATATAAAATTGCACACAAGTGTTATTTATAGACTTAACTAAAGTCCACTGTCTTTGAAACCAAATAAAGACAAAACTTCCTTCAAGCTCAATCACCCATCTTACTTCAGACGATCTTTTGTCCTTAATAATAGCACTTACCTCTGGAATATTTGAAGTTATAATTGATATTATTGTGTCTCAAGTGTAATGTATTTGGCCTTTTCTAGTACAAGTGTATATGTAAAATATGATATATCTTTCACGCTCAGTCTCATGCCAGAATGAGACATATATTCCAAAACCTTTCCCTTTCATCTTAGTAAAGCATGACCATACATTTCAACAGACCTCAGGCTACCTATATATGTATAAATAAAGGTATGTTGGTCTATGTACTGTGTGTGTGTGTGGGGGGGTGTGTTTAGGAAAAGAGAATCAGATAGAAGAAGAAAAATATAGGTTATTATAAAAAGAGAACTTCTAGTAAATAATGTTTTATCTTACTAATGTTATTATTCTCAATATATTACTAACAAGTGTTTAATAAGATTGTATCTTTAATTAAAATAATTGAGGTAATTCTTTAGTAAAGGGTAAAAAAAATCATAATTAAATGATACTGTGCTTTTCAGAAAGAAGTTTCTTTGCACAATAAATTTACTGGCAATTTGTCAATTAAATTTATAATACATAAAACTGCTAAAGAAAGTTAACTGCTATGTTCGGTTTATAATAAAATAGTGCTATTGCCAGAAAGAGAAATAAGTACTCATTTCCATTTAGAATGGAAACTATAGGCAAAACGTGATGGTTATAGTTATCAGTTTCTCTTTTATGTTTTGCCATTTTGTTTATTTATTTTTTAATGTGGTGCTGAGAATCGAACCCAGTGCTTCACACATTCTAGGCAAGCACTCTACCACTGAACCACAACCCCAGCCCCTGTTTTGCATTTTTGACAGTTCATGTACATATACTTAGAGTAATAACATGCTCACCAAGTTAGCAGGTGGATTCCATGTCACAGTGAAACCCTAGCAAGAAAAGGTTTATGTGATAGACTGCAATGATGGCACACAGTGAAATAAAAAAGATAATAGGTTTGGTGATAAAATGAAGTGAGTTTAGTGGAATTATAAAAATCTCTCTCTTCTTCTTCTTCTTCTTCTTCTTCTTCTTCTTCTTCTTCTTCTTCTTCTCTCTCTCTCTCTCTCTCTCTCTCTCTCTCTCTCTCTCTCTCTCTCTCTCTCTTATCTTGGTCTTTATTTTGTATCACCAAACACAGTAACAGGGTGGACATAATGTTCTTTTGCATGTCTCTGAATTTAGGCAGGGAAATTCTTGATTTTTAAAGTACTATGGATTTCAAGTGACTGTAGACTGAAAATCCCAAGAGCTACTTTGAAGTTTGTAAGTGGAATTCTGTCAGCTTACTTTATGAGAGTCCTGAATCTCTAAAATTAAGTATATAAAATTTCTGTGGTCCATTGGGCTGCATGCTAACAGTAAAGAATTCATTAACTTCCTGGCAACCTGGAACTGTTCTCTATAAGATTTGGACTGACCCCATTATTGTGTGCTTGCCCTGAATTTTGAGTCTTTCTCAATAGAGCCAGGATATTTGATGATATGACTAGAGCTGTTCTACACATGGCTCTTCATCAAAGAATAAATGTTGAAAGCTAATTCTCCTATAGCAGAGATGATATTTCCTCTGCATATAAATGTCTTGGCACTTTAAAAAGAGAGGACAAGAGTTTTCTCACATGGTACACTTCATTTTTGGGATTCATAGTCTTCAAAATCATAGTCATTTATTCCATATGTATTTACTTTTTTAAAAAAAGCAAGTTTGCAAAAACATTTAATTTAGACTTCAAACTTTTGAGAGATATTCATGTGGCACATGCTCAGATAAAATTCTGAGCAGAGGTTTGTGTGTGAAAAGGGAAAGGCACCAACAGGGGTCTCCAGTCTTGATAGCATCCAGTATCTGAACTTTCTACAGCACCCCATGTTAATCTAGTAGTACATTCCATTAATAGATCTTCTTAGTTTGAAATAGTAATTGACTCAATCAGGGTATCTTTAAAAAATGTGAAATGGTTTATAGTATAGAAGAATATACTGGTGAACCAAGTTAAGAAAGCCAGCACCAGGTGGTTCTAGAGATGAAAGTTGCAGAAACTAATACATTTCCAAGGCTCTAATGCTGAGGGGGGTAAATGTCAATGGATTTAGATTCAAATACCCAGGAGATAAATCATATACCTATCTGTGTTTCAGGAAACTGTGGAGTACCTTGATTGATAACTCTATTAAGACTGTATCCAATGGGTCACTGTATTGTAGTATTTTTTTCTCCATAGTATAAATAAGTTACTCATAGGCTGGTAAAAAAAAAATGTTCATTGGAAGAAGAATACACATTTGATTGCTACAAGTATATACATACTTAAAATAATTTCTTATTTATTTAATTTTTTAATTTGTTTAATTTTAAGGTTTAATTTTTTTGGAACGTATCCAATGAATTTAATTATCTTTCTGTAAAAGGTACATATTAATATGAAGTTTCTACCCAGCCAGGAAAGCCTTTAATATAATAACTTAAAAATATTATGTATCCATTCAGATACTTAAAATGTTACTATAATTATTGAGAAATTTTTGGCACTATGTTTATGCTTGGTTTAGTATTCAAATATGCAATTATTTTACACAGTCAATATGTTTTACCCAAAGAATATTTTCTTAAGATGTAAACTGAAAAAAATCCACTAAATATTTTAATTTTAAAGGGTCACTCACTTTTGTTTATTTTGGAAAAGATCTGACTTCTGTATATCAATAATTTTATTATATTAATGTTTATGCATTAGGAGATGATCTTTTTAAAATTTCCAAAATTTATACATTTTGAGTATTATAATGTTTGTTGTAAGCTTTTTCCAAATGAAAATATAATTCATTTAGATGGAAGCCAATATTTTCTGTTATGAAAGTGAACATAAATTAACCATATATAAACAAAAGAAGAAAACAACACAATGAAAAACAAAGTATATAAATAAAAACCCTTCATTTCTTCTTCGAGGAACCCAGAAGTTAGTTGTTCTCACCATGATATTATTTATTTTCAAATTATATTATTCCTGATTAAGAATAAAATTTTAAAAGTAAAATAAGATGGTTTGTTCATGGACTCACTACCTTTGAAGCTGTTTTTATTATAGTTGGAACTGAACCATTCTTATAGATCTAGAATAGGCTTTGACAACGAACTTATATTTTGTGTCATGAAAAATCTCCCCAAAAATCTATTAATCCCCGCCTCCACATCTAGCATAGAACAATTTAGACAACACTTTGCTTGCCTTCCTATTTCAAATTAAAATTCAATTTTGATGAAATAACAATTGTCACATTTCTCATATTTTCACTTTTTTATCACAGTTTAAATTTGTCTATATCTCTTTGATTTTCTAGGGACCCTTACAATGCAATTGAAGCTATAGACCCAGAGAAACTGAACGTTTTTCGGACAGTCAGAGAGATAACAGGTACTTTTCAAAATGCAATTGCTGTATTATGAACTATGTGACTTTGGTGTTTTCTTAAAAACATTGCATAATATTAGCATAAGCAACTCATTTTCATCGAAAATTCCAGTTTTTGAAATTCGTGTCATTTTTCAACAATGGGTGTTTTTACTTCTCAGCTTTTGTACTTATTTCGAAAGTACATAGAATTACAAAAATAAATATCCTAGAAATTTTGTCATTATCTTTTGCAAGTGTCAAATGATCTATGATCTTTGAACCCATGGTTTTCTACATACTTGCTTGAAGAAATACTAATAAACATGGGTTACATGTAGCATTCTTTTCTTTTCTTTCTTTCTTTTTTTTTTTTTTTTTTGGTACTAGGGTTACACCAGGGGTTCTTAACCAATGAGCCACATCACTAGATCTCACTAAGTTGTTTAGGGCCTGGCTAAAATTGCTAAGGCTGGCCTTAAACTTGTGATCTTCCTGCCTCAGTCTCTTAAGTCACTCTTATTGTAGGCGTGATCAGAATATGTACCACTCATATTTATTGAGTACCTAAAATATTTAATACTAGTATAATAGTGTTATACAGCTCATAAATATGAATCAGACATGGACTTACACCAGAATTTAAAATGTATTTTTTTGAGGAATCTTCATACTTCTTTCCAGAGTGGTTGTACTAAAATACTAGCAATGGAACCACCATTTGACCCTGCTATTTCACCCCTCAGTATATATCCAAAGGATTTAAAATAAGCACACTGCATTGATGCAGCCCCATCAATGTTTAGAGCAGCACAGTTCAAAATGGCTAAGCTATAGAGCCAACCTATCAGCAGATGCATGGATAGAGAAAATGTGTATATACACAATGGAGCATTGCCCAGCCATTAAGAAAAATGACTTTCTGACATTTGCCAGTAAGTGGATGGTTCTAGATACTATCATGCTAAGTGAAATAAGCCAACCCCCAAAAAACAAAGGTGGAATGTTTTCACTGATACATAGAAGCTAAGCTAAAATAATGAGGACAAAGGGAATAAAAGTTCAGTAGATTAGACGAAGGGGAATGAAGGGAAGGGGGGATAGGAAAAGGAAAGACAGTGGAATGAACCTGACATAATTTTCCTATATACATATATGAGTGAATACATCACAGTGAATCTCACCATTGTGTACTTCCATAAGAATGGGGTCCTAATTAGAATAAGATATATTCCATGCTTGTATAATTATAACAAAATGATTCTTCTGTCACATGTAACTAAAAAGAACCAATAAAAATTAAAATGAATAAAATAATTTAAAATTTAAGAAGACAGGTTAAATATATACATAAATGGCTTATAATGCAAGGTGGAAACTGATGTTACAAGTACAGAGGTAAAGTGATAAATGATTTCATAGAAGTAGAAACCATATTTTTTTTAGTTAAGTATATTTTTTCATTTAAAAGAATAAAACAAACTGAGTCATTTATGTCTTAACATATACAGTTTTATGATCCTAAATGGATGAGATACATGGATTTTTTGGGGGTCATAGTTTTGATATTAATTGCTTATAATTTAGTCCAGTGTGTGGGATACTCATAGGTTAAGGTACTCAGTGTTAGAAGAATAAATATGTTGTAGAATCTTTCATAAACAGAAATGGACAGTTATTTTATTACCTCCCATAAACTATCAATACATTTTCATCATATTTTAATAATCAACACTACTACTAAGACAATGATATCCTAGTTTATTTTTACCATCCTATCACTTGTAGGTTTCTTGAACATACAATCATGGCCCCCAAATATGACTGACTTCAGTGTTTTTTCCAACCTGGTGACCATTGGTGGAAGAGTACTCTATAGGTAAGTATATATATTTGGATTAATAATATATATTTGGATTAAGCTGAAAGTTGCCCAAATTTTAAGAGTAGTATCATGTGTACATCAAGTCAAAACCATCAGTCTTATTGATTTACTGATTCTGGTAATATGATATTTCTGCCTTCAATTTCAAAAATAAGCTCAATAAAAATAACCCTAATGATGATATGAAGTATACAGAATGCATCATTAGATTTTCCAAATGACATCATCTAATGTAATATTAGTATTTTACAAATCTGTGATGCTTAATGTGGACTACAAAATTTAACTTTCTTTTTGATTGTATATTATCTTATGATATAGTGAAGTTACTTGGTACTGTCTATGCTGTTGTACCAGAAGGCTGGATTGTCTCTGGTGCTATCTTTTAAACTATGCCTCATAGGGCTGGTGTTTTGGGATTTGTCCACCACTCTACATGCAGCTCTGGTTAATAAATGGAGAGCAAAATTAAAATAGGTGGACTTTATTATACAATTTTATCTCATCTTTTAAATTCACATGATAAAACTAAATGACAATCTTTACTAAGCCACTACTTTTTTTTTAGTTTATCTCAGATTTTATCTGCATGAAGTTTTTATTCATGAATTAATACAAGTTTATTTACATCAAGATATTGTTGTTTAATTTGTCTGCTTAAATCTGTGAAATGTCTAAAGTCAATACTATAATGGATTATTTTATAATAATGTTTTTATATAGTACACTGCATTTTATTATTAAAAATCCACAATATCTGTGAAAAGTTTTTTAAAAATTAAAAGGGGAAAGGAGCTTAATGTAAAAGGGTAGTTGAGAGATACAGTGTGCTCAAGTGCATATACAAACAACTTTTACTATCCTTGAATAAAATATTATGAATCACTTAAGGCCTTGTGCTGATCTTGTAATAAAAACTCAAGGTGGGTATGAAGAAAACAAAAATTTTAAAGAGTGAATTATGATTCAGTTTTTATCACTTAGCCCCATATGTTTTCATTATTAAAAACAATTCTAAATGTTAACAGCAAGTTACATTTAAAATTATTAGTGAAAATAATAACTTTATTGTCCAAAATGAAAAATAATGGTGTAAGTTGAATGAAATTTAGGAATTATTATTATTATTTGGCACTGGGGATTGAACCCAGGGGTGCTTAATCACTGAGCCACATAACTGGCCCTTTTTATTTTTTAGTTTAAGACATGTTCTCTTTAACTTGCTTAGGGTCTTGCTAAATTGCTGAGTCTGGCTTTGAACTCACAATCCTCTTTTCTTGGCCTCCCGAGCTACTGGGATTACAGGTGTAAATCCTGGTGCCTGGCTAGGACTCATGCTTTTTAGAGAATAAAAGCAAAAATAATTATAAAACTGTGGACTATGTTGAAATAATAACAGTTTTTTGAAATGATAATTGCTGTATTTATACAGAGTAGTTGTTCTTTAACTTTTAGTGAAATTTTCCCCAGCTGTTCAAGCCTTCTGAATATTTTTAAAATTTATTTTTGTTATACTCTTTAATTTTTAATATGCCCTAAGATTATTTATGCATTCTTTAATGGTGATTGTTTTGGTTTATGAGAAATTAATAAACCCCAAATCTGTAGTCATTTTCTGCAATATCTACCCTCTGAAATATATTACATAGTTATAGTAGAACCAGCATCTCTTTGGGTAGATAAGCAAGCATTGTACAAATAATTATTTAGTCTTACTACATTATTTTATTGTTGAGGAGTATGAAATCTAGGTGGAGGAGGAAAGACAGAGATCAAATACTTAAGTAGTAAATATAAAGATAGAGAGATATTGTCAAGATTAATAATTTTAAGAAATGGACATATTATTTTTGGGAAACAAATTATTAACATTAGAACTGGAAGTATATAGCATGTAAAGATGAAAATTTTATTCTGAGCACAGGCATATTGATCAGTCTCTGTGATCCATTGATTTTTTTTTGGAGTAAGAAGTGATATCCTTATTTTACTTCAAGAGAGCAATTCATGGCCAGAATATATTTTTCCTTGCTCCATTCTCTTTCTCCTCTTTAGTGGCCTCTCCTTGCTGATCCTCAAGCAACAAGGCATTACCTCTCTACAGTTCCAGTCTCTGAAGGAGATTAGTGCAGGAAACATCTATATAACCGACAATAGCAACCTGTGTTATTATCACACCATCAACTGGACAACCCTCTTCAGCACCATTAACCAAAGAATAGTGATCCGGGATAACAGAAAAGCTGAGAACTGTAGTAAGTACTTGATCCAGACACTTAAAACACAGAAACTTTAAAACTTTCCATTCTACATTGGACCAAACACTCCAAAATAATAGCAGGTCTGAATCATTCCCCTCTTATACCAACTCTGATAAAGGGGGGTAGCTATAATTACCAGCATGGCATAAAATAATCAGAGAAAGTGATAATTTGCTGCATATTGCATGTTTGCAAATCCTGCCTATCTTAGGAATCTTCCTGTGGAGATTTTGATTTGGTAGGTTCAAGTGGAACTTAGGCATTGCATTATTTAATAAGCGTCTAGATAACTCCTTGAATTCCATCACTTTGTGGAAATCCATCTTATTAAATTCTGTGTTTGCTCTTTGGTTGCAGTGAACTCAGAAAACAGAATAACACAGTTTTGCTATATGGGTGTAGGGGGAAAAATGAAGATGTGTTCTTCTGTACTCTGAAAAATATAGGGTCAGAGAGGAATTTTCCTTCTTCAAATGTATTTGTTTAGGTATATCATTATTTCCCTTTTCATCTGTTTTAATACTACTGATCCTCTTCATCACTTCATTGTTACAGCAAAGGAAATAATGTTTTCATGGGCATAGGACTATGCCATTCCTTATATGAGACATTGAGACTCCAGTGATTAATACTTAACTCCTCTCTATTTTTCTACTGAGCACTATTCCTTTCTACATCCTGGGAGTGCCACTAGTATTAATAGTGCCCTAGTATTCATGTATGACTTATTTATGGTAGATACCAATTATGAAGTTTCAGAAATCTAATGATTCATTTGCAAATGCATATTCTCTGGTGGGCATTAAATGTCCATTCATTTTAAAAGGTATATTCCCAGAGAAAAGTTTTACTCTTAGGCTATTATGTTACTTCTTTTATCTCACTGTAAGAACAATCAACAGGGTATAAATTAATAATGATCTAGTTTGTGTGTGTGTGTGTGTGTGTGTGTGTGTGTGTGTGTCTTATGTATGTGTAACGAATAGTAGAGGATTTTTGAAAAAAAATTAAACTCTTAAAGAGCCAACATGATTTAATTTTATGAAGTTAAGTAGCCTATGAATTAATGAACTTATTAACACCCCATCTTGTACCAGAAATGGTTTAAGGCATCTCAGACTAGCAATTTTCAAAGAATATAATTCATGAATAACTTACATATTCTACGATCTTGATCTTGATCATGTTCTTGATCTTTAGCTGTTTATGTTTCTTAAAAGGATTTTCTGGAGAAAGGAGATCTATTGCAGCATGAAGTTCCTGCTTTAAGTGAACTTAAGTTTTTACATGTTCTTTTTTCAACATAGGATCAAAAAATAGAAGTTCTACTTATATATCAAAATATGCAGCTTAATGTTAAATGAAATTCATCTTTTATTTGTTCTGGAATTTTTCCCATTTTTATACAATGCTGATTCCTAACACACAGTGTGCTTTACCCTTTTGCTAATACTTAAGCTTCTTGCCCCATACTTCTCTACATATGAGTGCATACACACCCCAGACAAAGAGATGATTCATGATGCTAAAATAATCTTGAACACTGCTTTATGAATATTTCCCTAGTAAGGATTATACAGTCTTTTTGCTTCATTTAAAAAAAAAATAGTACCACTACTTTTCAAAGATAGGAAGGTAACTCTGAAGACAAAAAAAAAAAAATCATCTTAAAGGTCCTTTTTGGTATAACCTACTTGCAAACCTTACAAATATTCACATTTTTATCGTTTTTATAATACACCAAAACAAAAGAAAATACAATTATAAATTAACTGTAGAAAAGCAAAATGGGAAAAGGGAGTTTCTAAAAAATTATATAATATTGTTCCATACCTCTGTAAGACTTGTAAATTTTCCAAACAATCAAAAGAGTGAATAGTAATAATAGTCAGTATGGCTAACTAAATATCTTTCATGGTCTTGAGCTTTTGGTGTCATGCCTCTTAGACTCAGTTTAGCAAATTCTTCAGACCAGGAATCTGGTTTTTATTTCTGTATATTCAGATTTCACTTTGCAGTTTGGGGAAGAAATGAAGCAGTTAGGGGAAGCAGTTTTGTCGTGCTATAGTATAAAATCAAGCATATCATTTTTCATTTTTAACATCTTAGAATAAATATATTTGGCATGAAATCCATTTATCAAAATTTGGTCTTCTGTCTCACAGCACATTGGATCCATGAGAATTCCACATGCCTATATTTTCAGAAACATATTTACTCTGTGAACATGACCTCAGAGATGATGCTCCTTATGTTTACAGTGAGCCTGTAAGTGGTTCCCACATATGATAAGAACCTTCTTATTATCCACAGTATTATGTGCAAATGGGAAGGTCTAAATATTTGCTTCCTTTTACATGCATTGTTAAATATTGCATTTTATTTTATTTTTTCTTTGTATTTGTAAAAACACAAGTATACATGAGCATACACATATATTCACTACCACAGATAAGTGTACACACATGGACTGCATTTCCATATATGCACATGTAACATATATAACCACATATAGAGTCCATACACATGTATGCACAGACCCACATATGCCCGCACTCCACCCCATTCCCAACAAAAATACTCCAATCTAAATTTGGGTGTCGTTTTTCTAACCTAAAAGGCACTCCTCATTTATAACAGTAGCATCTGAAATTCAACATGATTTAAGATGGTAATGACAATAAAAGCTTCACCTCCTCTACAAAGGGTGACAGTGGCTTCAATAAGCTTATTCTTTCAAGTCAAAAATTTCAAAGCAGGCTTTATGGCTTGAAGAGATTGAAATGGAGAGAAACCCAGGACATGAAAAGCGGGAACATTTTCTTTCTCCTTCACTTATGAGATTCTGGTACTAACAAAATGATGCTAGGTAAAAGAAGTTTTAGAGGAGATTTATACAAGTATTTTGAAGTTTCTTTAAAGAGTTAAGCACAAAATTTTAAAACCAAAAAATAAACAGTGTAAAGATACATGTTATATCAACTTTTCAAAACCAGATTACATTTGAACCTATGAATATTATGCCTTAAACTTATTTGTAATGTAGAGTTAAACTCAATATAAACAAGAGACAAATTAAATTCATTATTGACTTTTAAAATAGAAGTATCTTTATTTTTTCCTTTGATAATATAGTACCTTCCTCATTGTTGGAAAACAAAACAATGAAAACATCTAAAAGGAAGACATTTATTTTGGTGCATAAGTATGTAACATACATAGCTATCAATAATGAAACGTATATTTTCATGTGAAAATGAGATCATACCAAATAAACTTAAATACTATTCAGTTATATATGTATTTTAATACATTATAAGCCTCTTCCATGCCAGTGCATAGAACTCTTCTTTATTCTTTTAAAAAGCAATATATAAAAATATTTATTGAGTCACTGTCATATTAATATAACTTATTTCCATTTTTCATATTATTACTCCTGCTTTAATGTGTATCCTAGTTCATAAAACCTTATACAGTGTGTAATTCTTTCCTGAGGCTAAAATCTTAGCAGTGGAATTTCTGTGTAAATAAAGTTTTCTTATATACTGCTGTATCATCTTTCAAAACTATTGGATCAGTTCAAAGTTGTCCCAAACACTGTAGAATAGGAGTATTTTCTACCACTTTTTATAAAATTGATGTTCATGGTTTTATATTTCAGTGAGCTTAAAAAAGAAAACAAGTTCTTTTAAATTTACATGTTTGAGGTTGAGACTGAGCCTCTTTTTATATGTTGATCAATCATTTACATTTTTCCTCTTATAAATTACTTTATACACTTTATCCATGAACTTTATCTATTATCAGTTTTGGAGTTTCCTGTTTCCTTCTCTATTTGAAAAGCTCTTCACAAATTGAACACATTAACATTTTGTTCCTTTTAACTGTTGTGAATAACTTTCTGTCTTACAGGTAATTTTTTAACTTTTTTCTTTTGATACATATTTTTTGTTTTTATCTTGATGTATTCTTAGTTTTTTCTTCTAGTACATTAAAAACTATATTGAAAATTTAATCCATATGAAAATTTTGGTATGGCATATTTTTAAGAATTTCCTATTGATTATATTATTGAGCCAACAGAATTTATTGAAGAACATATCTAGTCTTACTGATTTTAGTTGTCTGCAATGTTTCTGCTAAATAAAGAGCCAGAAAAGATGTCAGATTTTAAGTCTCAATCTATTCAGATAGGTTAATTTAATTGTCATAACCACTCTGTAAATGATAATTATCTCCATTTTGCAAGTGAATATACAGAAGTCAAGAAAGTTAAATAATATTTTCAATGTGTAGAGCTATGAAAGAACATATCCAGGGATTGAACCCAATGTCCATCTGATTTCAAAGACTAAGCTCTTCATTTCACTATGATTTTTCTCTCAATAAAGAAAAAGCAATTTATTTTATAAGAAAACCTGTTGATTTACTATAATACCCTATATAATAAAATATTCAGCACCACACATACCTTGTCCCATTTTTGTGGTAAGACAATAAAAAACCTGAGGGTGGATATTTTATAAAGCAAAGAGGTTTATTTAATTCATAGTTTTGGAGTTTGAGAGGCCAAGATTGGGTTTTCCTGTATGGTCTGCCTCTGCCTAGAGCCTTCTGGCTATGTCACAACATGGCCAATGGCATAACATGGTGAGAGCATGTTGGAGATCGTTTACATGGCCTGAGAGGAAGTGAGGGGCAAGGAGGGGCCAGGCTTGTTGTTTTGTAAAACCTACTCTTGAGGGAATTCATTTACTCATGGGAGATCCAAGGGGAGACCAGCATTAATGGCTTCATGAAGGCAGTCATGCCTCAATACCTCCCAGTAGGCTCCACCTCTTAAAGGTCCCTACTCCTTTCTATGCCAATGCATTGAGAGCTTAGCCTCCATGTGAGTTATGGTGAGATGAACCACACTCAAACCACAGCAACACCCTGTAGCCCAAAGGCTAGGGTTTTAATCTCAGCAAAATTCTTTAATATTCTGCTTT